TTTGTTTTTTTTTTTTTTTTTTTAAAGTATCAGTACTTCCCACTGGCGCTACCAATTGTGGAAGTGAATTCCACATCCTTATGGCCCTGACAGTGAAATATCCTCTACGCAGTTTCAGTTTAAACCACTTATCCTCCATTTTTATTGCATGGCCCTGCGTCGTCTTATACTCCGAGACAGAATAGTTAATTCCATATGCTAGAATCACCACTGAGTTATTTCTAGATTGATATATCTCTTTTCAAGAGTCTCTTCTCCAGGGAGAATAAGTTTAATATTTGTAATTGTTCCTCGTAACTGAGGTCTCCCAAGTCCCCTATTAACTTTCTCTGGACTCTCTACAGTTCTAGCACATCCTTTCTGAGGACTGGTGGCTAGAACTGGAGGGCATACTCCAGATTTGGCCGAACCAGAGTTTTGTAAAGTGGCAGGATTCTAGTTTTATCTCTTGTGTGAATACCCTTTTTTATGCATGCTAAAATTATACCAGCTTTGCTTGCAGCAGCTTGGCATTGTATGCCACTGCTGAATTTGTCATCCACTAGGTCTCCCAGACCTTTTTCGATCCTGGATTTCTCAGAGGTTTTTCCCCTAGCGAGTAACTTGCGTTAGTATTTTTAGCCCCCCCCCCCCCCCCCCCAAGTGCATTACTTTACATTTTTCAATATGAAACCACATTTCCATGTATTTTCCCGCTCCTTTATTTTATTGATATCTTCTTGTAGAGTTGCTATATCCTGCTGTGAAGTTATTGCCCTACTTAGCGTTCTATCATCAGCAAAAACTGATATTGAGCTATTTATTCCAACCTCCATATCAGTTATGAATAAATTAAATAAAATTGGTCCCGGGACAGAACCCTGGGGTACCCCATTTAGCACTCCAGACCAATATGAATACACGCTATTTATCACCACCCTTTGGACGCACCCCTTTAACCAGTTTTTTCTATCCTTGCACAAACCCTATGGTCCATGCCTACAGTCCTCAGTTTGTGAATTACGCATTTATGGGGAACTGTATCGAATGCTTTAGCAAAATCCAGGTACACCACATCCACAGGCCTTCCTTTATCTAAATGGCAGCTCACATCCTCATAGAATGTTAATAGATTGGTTTGGCAAGAACGACCTTTCTTAAGCCATGCTGATTACTACTAATGATATTTTTTTCATCAGCAAGATCTTGGATATAGTCCCTTATCATCCTCTCAAATAGTTTACATACTATAGATTTTAGACTGACTGGCCTATAGTTCCCAGGAATATAGATCTGCCCTTTTTTAAATATTGGTACCACATTGGCCCTTCGCCAATCAGCTGGTATCATTCCTGTCAGTATGCTGTGCTTAAAATTTAGGAATAACGGTCTAGCTTCAACCAGCCTGAGTTCTTTGAGGACTCTTGGGTATAATTATCCTGTGATCACTGATTCCCAAGTTGTCTTGTAATCCCAGATCTGCAATCTGATCTGAGCCATTTGTAATTAATAGGTCTGACAATGCATTCTTTCTTGTCAGGGCCTCCACTAATTGACACATGAAGTTGTCCTGTAAGACATTTAGAAAATGACAATCCTTAAGTGATTGGGCTGTTCCTTCTGCCCAATCAATACCTGGATAGTTGAGGTGCCCCATTATGATGACGTTGCCCTGCCTAGCTGGCATTCCTAACTTTTTATCATCGTAAACCCAAGTTTCAACCTGAATATAACGCCCTATTGTGCTGCTTAGGAAGGGTTGTTCAGATGATGAACAATTGAAACAATATAAAAAAAAGGATAATTATTGAAAGAAATTGCATTAAAATTGACAAAAAAACATTTAATTTGACGTAAAGTCCATCATTAGGCAAAACTTCATGCCCACCCCAAATGCCCCCACTAATCCATTCAGCATCTGCTTTTTAAAATTACCTTGTGATTCGTGTTTATACTTTCCTATGCCCCCATCAGTGTCCTTTTTCAGTGCCATTTCTGGATGGAGGGCACTGATAATCCATTATTGGAGTTGTGCTGGTGCCAGTTGGTCTCTTTCTGACATCACTCCAGTCCTAGATCCTGCGTGGATTTTTCTGCTAGACAGCCAAAAGGAAGTGTTCACATCAGGCATGTGTAGAGCGGAAGAACCCTCTTGTTTGTAGAAGAGAGAACACTCGGGACCAGAGCATCATACTAGCATGGTTTTAGGTGAGCAGTAGGCAGTTTTTTTTTTTGTGTTTAGAGGGTTCCTTGTCACAGCCTAAGCACCCATGCATTACTGGAGGCTACCTTTCCTAAACTCCCAGAGTTTGCAGAGCAATTTAATTTACAGACTTCAACCATCAGCGTAACAATAATGGAAAATCCCCTTTAATTGAACTCATTTGTTCACATTTTTGGTAGCCAGTATTTGCTAAACCTAGCTGCATCTAAACAGGAGCATACAGGATATTTGAAGCTGTAAGAATATCCTATATAAAGATCACTGAGTTAAAGTAACACTAAGCAAATTAAAAATAAATAAAATCAGGTATGTATTCAAAAATGCTTTCTATTGCTCCTTGTCCTCTCCAAATCCTTTTTTTTTTTTTTTTTTTTTTTTTTTTTATATGTTTTTGCTGTTGTGTTCAGATTTCGTGTTAGCCTCCCCACTTTCATGACATCTTGGATTGACTATGGAATATGTAGTGTGCTTAGGGCAGTGTACATGACCACAATTGCTGTGTAGGTCCCGTTCCGAACAAACCGAATTGAGAGGGTAACGGAAAGGTCTGGGAGCTCACAGAGGATGATACAAGGAGGGAAAAAAAACAACATAAGAATTTATCTCATGAAAAATAAATTTACAGGGCCATTAAGTCATGGGCGGGTATGCATTATTTTTGGATAAGGATATCAGTTCGTGTCTTTTTAAATGTGTTTGCATTTTAGGATACATAAAACAAACACAATCCGCACGTCTAATACTGTACATACAGGTTTTTCCAGCAAGACTCATGAAATATGGTTAACACCCTTAAGGGTACCCCTGTCTTCTCCCATTCTCCAGGTTAAATTAGTAACTCTCTCATGGACCCCCTCCTTTGCTGAAGGTGGGAGTCCCTCCACATCTCACAAAAGAGGAAGCAAGTGCAGGGGGTGGGGGGAAGCCCTGAAATGCCGCCAAAATATTTTGTGGCAGTCTGTTGCTAAGGAACCAACACTTGAGCACTATTAATGACACTGCAGGCATATCAAGAAGCTGAGGCTGTATTCTCAGCACACCCTTTTAAAGCTGGAGCAAGCTTTATCGGTGTATTAAGCTTACTAATGCCGTAATTATCTCAGAAATAGTTATTCTCTTGTTAACTTGATGCCCCACCACCACCACCTCGATATATGATTGACTGTAATTGGTGGTTGGGTACAGCGTATCTAGCTCTGCTTTCCCACGCCTCTAATCACACACTCACATCCGCATAATCTCCTAAGCAAAGATGAGGATTGTGCTTTTTTTCAGCTGTGGATTTAAAGCTTGCCTCTTGTAATTTGTACAGTGACAGATGTCATTTCTATTTTTCTTTTTTTTTTGTTAACTGTTTAAGCTGTTTTTTACTGCTTTGTCTTGACACTTACACATTGCTTAAGTAAGATAATTAATTTGTAAAAATTCGCTTTGGTGATCATGTTTGTATGTGAGAAGTCAAACTTGTATATTAAATGTACTTTCTGTTGAACTGCTTACTCTCATTTCAGTGGTTATTAGAGCTAGGTTTTTTTTTTGTGTAATTTAGCTAGGTTTCATTATTTTCTTGCATTCTTTAAAAGTGCTGCCATATTTTCTTGTTAGGATTAGTGAATTTTATTCATAAGAGCTTGTAGTTTTAAAAAGTCACTGTGCATTCACCCTTTGCGTCTTCTCATTAGTGGCATAGACAGAAAACGTGCTGCCAACAATGCACACATTGCTAATCACATGCCAGCAGCAGGCTGTCTGCTTTGTCAAGTGCCCCGCATCCCTGAGGCAAGAAAGACAGCTGCTGCTGCATCTGTGTTGTATGATCCTTCTCTCATTGGACTGGTAAATGCTGCTCTTTTAAACCTCTTTGTTTTATATTGGGTACCTTGTTGCTCACCTTTTTCAGTAATCATATCACTTCGTCAGTGTTCTGCTCTCAGATAATAGTTAAAGCTAAAACTAGGAAACACCTCCTAGTCTCTAGAGGTAGTTAATAAAATAAAAAATATATATATTTACAGCGCCAGCGAAAGCACTGTACAAAGTATTTCCTAAATGCAGTGGTTAAAAATTACCTTTCCTTAACCCATTAGTGACTAAGGGTATGTATGTGTGTGTGTATATGTATGTATGTATATATATATATATATATATATATATATATATATATATATATATATATATATATATATATATTCTGTAGCTGTATATTTCTTACTACCACCATAACCTACCAAAAAAGAACAGGCCAAAATAAACTCTCCTGCTCCCGACGGTCGCGGCGATACCACGTGTGTGTTTTTTTTTTGTTTTTTTTTTGTTTTTTTGTTTTTTTTATCCTACCTAAAACACACCAACAGTGATACTAATTTAAAAAAAAAAATCCTGCCCAAAAAATACTGACCGGTGGTCATAAATTTCAGCCCTTTTAAGTCTATCCTCTTGCAGCAGCCAGTCAGCAGGGGTGACATCAAAGGTCCACAGGGGACACATCACAGGTCCCAGGAAGCTGCAGGACTATTCACATATAAGTCACTCAAGTGAGCACAGCGCTGGATCCCTGGTCAGACAAGAGTTCTTGTATTAAAAGTCAGCGGATACAGTATTTGTAGTAGCTGACTTTTTAAATAAAATATTTTTTTTCTGGGTAGGGGTCACTGAGGATCCTCTTTAACCGCCTCCCACCTGCCATATAAGGAAATGACTCATGGGCGGTGGTTCTCTCGTTTTGGGAGGACGTCATATGACATTCTCCCACTCTTACCATGCGTGCGTACCCCCGTGGGCCCCCACGGCTCGTCAGGAGAGGAGAGCTGGTAATCGGCATTCCTCGGCCCCATCAGTGCCACCTGTCAGTGTCCATCAATGCCACATATCAGTGCCCATCTGAGCTGCCTTTCAGTGCCAACTGTCAGTGCCGCCTACAAGTGCCATATGAGTACTGCCTTTCAGTGCCCATCAGTGATGTCTGTCAATGCCCACTAGTGATGCCTGTCAATGCCCATCAGTGCCACCTACCAGTGCCTCTCCATAAGTGCTCACCAGTGCAGCCTATCAGTGCCCATCACTGCAGCCTCATTTAGCGAACATCAGTGAAGGAGAAAATTACTAATTTACAAAATTTTATAACCGAAACTAAAACTTTTTTTTTTCTCAAAATTTTCAGTAGTTTTTGGTTTCTTTATTAAAAAATTAAAAACCAAAGTGGTGATTAAATACCACCAAAAGAAAGCTCTATCTGGCTCAAAAAAATACTAAAAATGTCATATGGGTACAGTGTTTCATGACCGCGCAATTGTCATTCAAAATGCGACAGTGCTGAAAGCTGAAAATTGGCCTGGGCAGGAAGTGGGGTGAAAGTGCCCGGTAGACAAGTGGTTAAGTAGACATGTTGGTGGCAATCTACAGCATCTTTGACGCAGATGACAAAACATCCATATGTGATTAGGCTGTTTCACACTCTTTTCTTTTTCTTGGGAGAAAAGCTGACAATACATAACCTCTTTGAGATTGCTTTCACTGTTTGAGGAAACTATCTCAGGCTCTGTAGGCTGTGATCTTGCTTGGCAGAGATCTAGTTTTAACTTTAAATGTGATTTGTAAAGGTAGAAAAAAAAAAAAAAAAATCAGAAACATGGTATACTTACCTGCTCTGTGCAATGGTTTTGAACAGAGCAGCCCAGATCCTCCTCTTCTTGGGTCCCTATTGGTGCTTCTAGTTTCCTCCCCCCTGCTGAATGGTCCCCATAGCAAACCACTTGCTATGGGGGCACTCATGCAAGCTCGCTCCCAGCCCGTGCTCTGTATGTCCATTGACATGCACAGTTTAGCTCGGCCCCGCCCTCAACTTCCTACTCACCAGCTGTGACTGACAGCAGCAGGAGCCAGTGGCTCCACTGCTTTGTCTGAGCCAGTGAGGAGCGAAAGAGCAGTGATTCTGCTTTCGTGCGCAGCACTGGATCAACATCACGCTCGGGGGGGGGGGGGGAGGGCAGCACACAGGTTTTTTTTTTTTTTTTAACCTTTTAATGCATACAAAATCTTGGAAAAGCATTGTGCCTCTAGAACCACTATAATATATTTTTAACTTTAATGTTCATAGCGGTTTCTTGCCATCATTTGCAAAAACAATACAAAGTTCTCTCTTTTGTTGCATTGCCCTAAGTGATTAATTTGTTTTTTTGGGGGTTCCTTTTTAAGTGTGCCCCTGCAAAGTGTTTTGTTTACCAAACATATGTTCAGGACATATACACTCACACACCACATCAAACTTCATTGACAAAAGATCAAGTAACTGTTTAGAAAAAATTATTTGACTAAAAATACTGTTCCCCCTGATTTTGTTTCAGGTTTCACGTTCACATTTTGGGTTTCTGCACATTGTGTTGTGTTTGGTGAGGTTGCCTGTTCTCATATTAGGCTATGCTTTTTGAAGGGTTCATTGCTACTTGTGAGAGCTGCCTTTGGCACTAGTTAAAACATAGCATACTGCTCTCCCAAAAGTGAAGTAAAGTTCATATGTCAAACATATAAAAACTTGCAAAGTAAAGTGGCTTGCAGGTAAAAACATGTCATTGAATTGATTTAAAGCCTATTAAATATAAAGGTTTGAAACAAAGGATTGCATGTTTTGATCCTTTGAGGATTTGCTGGAAAGTAATTTGTTTGGACATGGTTATTTTTTCTTCATCAGGTAAAGCTCACCATGATTTAAGGTTTTTGTTTTTTTTAAGTTGTTGACCCTGGAACAAGCATGCACCTCAGCCTACCCATGCTCCTATCCAGCCAAGAAAGACATCGAAGTTCCTTTCTTATCATTGGAAAGTGATAAAAGATTAAGATGTCCATTTTTCAAGCTGGGCAGGATTGTTCTGCCTCACACAATCTAGGGAATGTAGTCATGGAAGCCAGGCAACTTTTTGGAGCTCAGTTTTATGGGTGGCTCTGCAACACTGAGTGTCCTTGCAAAAAGGGGGTCCAGTTGGAACGTGGTATGGCTGTGGCCTGCTTCAACCACCAAGAGGGCACAATACGTTGTGCAGCCATGAAGGAAGTAAGCCACATAATCTCATGGACAGAGACTTCCTGTCCAGTGATCTCTGCTGTCCACGTACCAGAAGTGGATAACTGAAAGGTGAATTTCCTTGGTTGTCACTTTCTGGACCAAGGGGAATAAAGCCCATCACCCTGACATCTTCAACCTAATATGTCAGAGATAGGGGGACCCAGGATATGGTTATCTTGGCCTCTAGATTCAACAACAGATTACTTGGTCAGGACCACAGATGTTTTAGCACTGGTATCGGGTGCCTTGAATAGTCTTCTGGTCTCCATTCTGGCTAATCATTGCCTTTCCTCCAGTGCAAATTTTTCCTCAGATGAGGAGAGATGCGATGGTTATAATTGCACTGAACTGGCCCAGAAGAACCTGTTACACAGACATACTTGGACTACTATACAACAGTCCAGAGCTGTTGTATAAAGAAAAAGAGAGGAAGGCGCCTCTAAGTGCAGTATTGACAATTTATTTAGTAAACAATGGATAAATTGCAAATTAATTAAAACAATTATTCATTGTTTACTATATAAATTGTCAATACTGCACTTAGAGGCGCCTTCCTCTCTTTTTCTTGTTACTGCATTAGAACCTTGCTTCCACTCTAAGAAGAGCTACCTCAGTGTTACTGCATCCATCCCTGATATTCATCTGGCACCTTTATCCTACAGCTACAGAGGTTGGGCTCCAACAAGCGCGCCCTATATAATATACATTTTCAGAGCTGCTGTATAAGGGTCTCTAAATACAGTTCTGTCTCAGTCACTAGCTTTAATGTTATGCCTATTTAAACCCCAGGTCTTAAGGGACACCGGGGTCTCAAAGTCTGTCATTTCTACCATGCTGAAAGCAAAAATAGATACTTCCAGAAAGACCTGGAAATCCTACTGAAAACACAGGCATTTTCAATAACAGAGATTATTATGCGCGTCACATTCTGGCCTCCTACAATCAGGACTTGTCCAAAACTTAGCTATAAACACTGTGAAAGGGAAGTTTTAGGCCTTATCTTTTCTTTTTTGTAAAACCTCTGGCCACGCTCTCCCACGTCAAAACCTTTATTCAATGTGTATCTCATATCAAGACCCCATACCGCACCCTGTGGTTCCTTGGGACTGCTACTTGGGTCTCTTTGCTCTGGAAAAAAAACAGCCTTTGACCCCATCAGGTTCATTAGATGATCTCTTCTGCAAAGTGGACTTTTTGGTTACTGTCACATGTTAGTAGTGTCTCTGAGCTGGCAGCTCTCTTGCAAGGAGCCATTCCCCATTCTTCACAAAGACCAGGTAGTCTTATGCCCAAAGCCATCCTTTTTTCCTAAGTCTTCAATCTCAGTGAATACTTGGACCTTCCTTTTGTTCCTTGCTCCAAAGCATCCAAAGGAAATTGCTCTTCATTGCCTGGACATCAGAGCCATCAGTCTTGCTTCAGAGAAGTAGCTTCTTTCAGGAAGATAGACTCCTTATTTGTGCTTCCATGTCCATCATCACTTGGATAGAGCAACTCATTGCTAGAGCTTACTCTAAAGGACAAAACTCCTTCTGCTTTTTTATGTGCCTGCTCCACCAGGTCTGTGGATTGTTTTTACTGGGCATTCCTTTAACAAGCCTCTGTAGCCCAGCTTTGCAAGTCTGCTGCCCTGTCCTCTGTTATACTTCAGAGATTTTCCATGTGGACTTCCAGTCTAATGTAGACGCAGCTTTTGGCCTCAAAGTCCTTGCAGCGCCACTCTGAAATTGGATAACTTTGGTCCTTGTTGGCCCAGATTCAGTTTGACAAATTGGTGCCCACCCTTCTCATTCATTACTTTGATGGTCCATGAATATGCAACCTGTGTCCTGTACTGTATAAATGAGTGTTTTGACTTGCCTATAAATTGTACTGTAAAGACACCCTCCCTTCTATTCTCAGTATAAAGTGATTACTGGGCACATGTCAGACAGCTTGTTAAATAGAGACATTGTACTGGGCCAGAATAAGGGGGCTGGGTAATATGTGATTGCTGTGATTGGTCATCACAGCAATCACATGGTACCGTTTACAGTTTTGATGCCTCCCCTTCCCCTTACAACAGCGGAAGAAGAGAGACCGAGTACCTGTGACTGGGAACAGAATGCATAGATCAGCAGCTGCAGGTTCATTCACCCTGTTTCAGTGAGACAGGGTTCTCTTTAACCCTTTCATGTCCCCCTCCTTTCCTACACATACTATTTCCATGCTGTCTTCATGTGACCTGTATATTAACCCATTCACCTCCCTCATCTTGTTCATCTGAAGATGAACTACTCTCCTTCTTGCCTCCGTATGTGACCAGTACAAAAACATATATTAACGTATCTAGTGCACCATTACCAAGCTCCATGTTTAACCCCCTCGGTACAGGCTGGTACTTAAGTGGTTAAACCTATTCACAGACACTGTCATTTGAGCTTTCATCTACACCCTGAGTGTTCACAAAAAGTGCTTGCCCTGCTTCTGGCTCCTCTGCGTATCTATTTCACAGACTGCCAGGATGACCACCTTCTAAAAGAATCTTCAGTCACAGCCTTGTCTGACAATGTCCAAATGATGGTTTGTTTAAACCTTTGGTTAGATATTTAACTTTCCAAAGCCTTGTTTTCAACCCTCACACAGTCTGACGTATTTGGGTTTAATTTTATACAGCCCAAGACAGAGTTTTCTATCCTCAGATGAAACTTGCTTCCCTAAGGTTCCAAACAAGGATCATTTGGTCAAAACTGCATCCCCGATATGCTTCTGTCTGAGGGTTCTGAACTTGGTGGTAGTCTTCGAGGTAGTTCGGTTTTTCCTATTTTCACTCCAGACATCTTCAATCCAACATGCTGACATCTTGAAACAAGCAAATCCAATCTTTGGATCACCCAGTGGTCCTGTTCAGCCAGACAAAGCTTCCCTGACATGGTGGATCTCCATCCTGCCCTGAAATGGGTAAAATCTTTCCTTCACATTCCCTGAAAAAATGTAGTACCAACAAATGCCAGCTTTATAGGCTGAGGTCGAGTTTACAATTCCTGGACTGTCAAGGGGACTTGGTCCACAAAGGGGTCAAAACTTTCCTTCAACATTTTGGAACTGAGAACCATCAGATTATCTCTTCAGCACTGGACCTCCCTTCTGCAAGATCACTTGGTGTGCAGG